TTCCAGCCACTCTACATCCGCAGATGTTAATCTGCGAATGAGAGGTGAGTTCTAATTAAGCTAATTGTCGAGGAAAAACGTCATGAAAGTTATAATGGTTCATGTTTGAATATTCAGCAGCTGAAAGGGTATTTTAGAGAAGTTCTCATCACCACTTAAGTCATACCTTAAGCGAAGATTTCAGTTCAAAGATTTCTTTCAAAATGCATGATATAACCTTCAAAATCCCCAGCCATTATGTCTTCAGTATGTTTTAGAAACTGGCTGTAAGAAGCCAGTACACCGTACTTCAATATATCATTGGATTCTTATGGGAAGTGGAGATAGGCATGCGGATGCGGAAAGAACGTCGAAGTAGAGTTGTGAAGACAACGCATGAAGAGGGTTCCCCATTAGACGGCCCAGAGAGTGATGCAGGACGTGATTAAAGAATTAGACGCAGGAAAGACGCTAGAGGAAGAGGAAGCGACAGGGATGAGTTAAGCCTCCTTTCTCTTTAAAGATAACTTAAAGAGGACGCCTCAGTCCTTCACCTACTTTTGGAGTGAGTTGTTCTAATGGAACTATACGAAGCACTCATAAACTTTTACCATTACAAGAAAGGAAATCGAGCAACGCACGTAGGTAAGGTAGAATCAAATAAACTTTTAGATAAGGCAAACATCTGTTTGTTATATCAACAAACACGTAAATAACGAACCACACTCAGTTGACACGTCTGTGCTTCAGACACGTAAATAAAAACAAATAATAATTTTGGAAAAAGTAACTAGGCTACATGGCAGGTTTTGGTCGGGACGCTCTATCGTATCTCAGTAGACATGAGTGGGTAGATTGATCAACATCCATTTGAGAACAATAATAGTTTAATTTAATTTAGGAAAAAGGTGATAAAATGTCTCATCTGGATAGCACTCTTGAGTTCAAGGACAAACAAATCTTAGGAGAAGATTAATTGATCAACTGATGAGATATTTGTCATTGTCTCCTAAAGTTGGAAATGTGCCAGTTTTGACAATCATGACCTTAATTAGGTGCATTACATTAGGCACATAACCTTTATTTGACCTCGCTTTTAATAAGTTTTCGCAACTTTCGTTTTAACTTTTATTTCAATGATGTGCTAATATTCCCCTAGTTTTGAATACTTTTGAAGATGTTGTTTGAGATCAAAGCCGAAGCTAAAATCTGTATCATCTCTGGAGAGTGTATTGAAGGTGGTAGAGATGGTCACTAATTATTATAGAGCTTGCGCAGAGGAGTGGAGCCTGTCTGTGTAGAAAGTAAGTGTAGAACCGAACCGGTCAAGACAAGACGGGTGGACACTGGTCGCCTACTCAACCTACAAGCAACAAGCTACAAGCTACACGATACAAGCTACATGGTAAAAGGTGCAAGATACAAGCTAGATGCGTGTTAAAAGATACAGGTCTATTATACAAGCGAATACCAAGTGCCAAAACACAACTGGACAACAACTTTCTTCCCAGATGTATTAATCACTTTTTGATAATCGAGTAATTAATCCTCTAGACCGAGTTCCATTGATGTTTTGAATCCAAGATTATTAGATTACGTGCCGGAAGCGACCGTGCCAGAAGCGACCCAACAAAAATCGTGCCAGAAGCGATCCTGGTAGTAGTGTGAGTGCCACTAGCGACCCATTGTTTGATAAATGATTTTGCAATGTGTTGTTCAAATCGGTGTTAATGGCGTATAAACAAATCCTATTCTTATTTAATATGTACCACCTGGAAAAGCCCAATATTCGCCTAAAGAGCTGTTTTAGCATCTCTAGTTCCCAGCTGTTAGCATAGACTTAAGTTATGTGTGGTAACTTAATCAAAAAAATTTTCTTGAATTTTTATCATTTTATAGGAGCCAATATAATCAAATAACTTATCTTTTCTTTATTTTGTAATTTATTATCTAAATATGTAAATATGAGGTGGTGGATGTGTGTTTACTTAATCGCACGGGAACCACTCAAAAGATCTAAATAAAACATCACATGGAGGTTGTTTATAAAATATAATCAAAATAATGTTTACTAGGTGAACCCGCGCGAATTCGCACGAATAATAAATTAGGATATTATAGCAACGTCGTTAGAAGTTGCGTCGTTGTATCGACGTTGGTCTTGAGCTCGATCGTTGGCTTTATGCATTTTAAGTTATTTTTGCTGTTCAGTAGGAGTATTTTGCAGGACGGAGCTCATCATGCTGAAAACTTGCGCGTATGGATCAATATCAACCAAATGTTGTGTCAAAATGTGCATGAGTTCAGTGCTGCAAGAGCCAATAGCTTTGTTTAGAATTCTTCCTTGAACAGCGGTTTCGACGTCGTAAATATAAATTTGGGCATATGTGGGATGCTCCCCTTCTGACGGTTGGAAGGTGCCAATTGAGTAATAAATTGTGTCGTGCACCTTATACATGAAAGGCCCTCCACCGTTATGTTCTTTAATTTTAGCTCGAGTGCTGACCATTGCGAGCGCAGAGTTGTATGATCTAATGTTCTCTTTGTAGTTTCTGCTCAAATGATTTGCTCCATTAAGTAGGCTCTGGATATAATAGCTTTCTCGGTATGGTGGTAGATTCACTTTTCCTTTATGGCAGCAGGGTGAAAATCCTATTTCATTTTTCGTTTTGATGCCCCGAGAGAGCAAAAACACTATTCGTAAAACATAAATGTAATTGGTAATTTAAGTAATTTGGTTATAATTCATTTCCATTCTTGCTCCTGAGCTGTAATATTCAATGTGATTTGTGGAGGTTTACATACCTCCGACTAACAGCTCAACTATTTAGTAGGTTGTTTGCATGTTTCGACTTGTACCCGCCATTGTCAAAACATTGGAACGTTGGAAAAAAATACTTATCATTGTTTACTAATGTCCATAAACTTTTACACACACATACACGAACGAATAAAAAATAGCTTATTCCCTATATGGGAAATTCGCAATGAATAGGCCTATTACAATAAAAAATGCACCTGCAGTCTACAAACTGTAATAGTTTGTTTGCTTATTTTATTTACGGATATGTGTTGGTAAATGTATATTCGTATAAATTATACGTTACAATTTACATAAAAACAAATTTACATGGGAATAAATTTAGCCTGCAGGACTGCTGCGGCGGGAGTATTTTGTTGTGTATTTAATGTGACAGCAAATCGTTTTAATGGTTTTATAGTGAAATTCTGTTTAGTTTTTGTTAAGAACATAAGTTGAATTGGCGTTAATTCATAACTCGCCTCCCGCTCCAAATTCTTGGGTCGCTAGCGGCACGGTAGAAAATTGGTGGGTCGCTAGCGGCACGGGTCGCTTCTGGCACGGTCGCTTCTGGCACGACACCGATTATTATACTATTTCATTATGGCTATGTTCACAGTGCTGGTTTCCCTTGCCGTTTAGTCACAAAAATACAATTTATTATCAAACATGGGAGGTGAACATAAACAAACAGGAAATGTAAGTAATTGACCATGCTGCAAAACTCTGTATACTAAGTGAATGTATGGTTTCTTTATTTGAATTTCATCCAAATATTATGATAACAAAAGAAAATTTGTTCAAGTACCACTTTGAATATGAAAACCATTTTGCTTAAGGAGTCTGCTATTACGATGGATGTTGCCGTTCATTTTAAAAGCCTACCGTAAAACAAAAAGATTGCTCAAAAAATTAAAGACACATGCACCCACATGTTCTACATGAATTTAACATCCAAATAAGAATAGTTTAAAAGACAACGTACTGCGCCATAACTTTTAATATTTTGATAACCAGATAGGCTACTTAACGGTTTGTCTTTTTACCTTAAATTGATGGTGGAAATAAACAAATAATTGTCTAATATTTCGCTATGAAGACAACTGTTGTCTACTTCTCTACAGGGGAAATCGCGAAGAGTATCAAAATGCATCTCTGAGTACTACTGTACTATTGATATAACATAACATTTATGGAATATAGTCAATGGTACAACTGACCAAGTGTGGGCTTATGTTGGAAAAAATCGAGTTAAACAACAAACCCCCAAGATCGATGTACCCAATAGTCTACCCAATTACCCAATGTACCCAATTTCATCAACTAATGTTAAATTTCACGAAATTGCTTTACTTTCCTTCCGTTTTTTCTGAGTCTAGTCCGGTTCTAAGGTGAAACCGTAGTCACTTGTGAGCTAATCTTAAGTGATTCGGAGGATGAAATACCAAAGTTGGAGATTTTCAGTCTTACCCAATTTAGCTTTTACGTTAGAAAGCCAGATGAAGAATGTAGCTTAGAAAGCTGTGGATGTATTATAGATGGAATAATATTATTCATATTTTAAATAGTATAAATTCCACAAATTTTATTATATCGTAGATCAATAACACCTCGCAGTTAGATAAAATAATTTGTTAAGATAGCCAAAGTTTAGAATGACAATATAGATTTTTTGTGTAGTTATTTAATGAATTGAGTCACAAACACGGGCGTGTATATTTTAGAGAAAAACTTGTTTTGTTTTACACAAAGGTTAGAAGACAGACAGGTTGTATGGTGATCACCTTTCACAGTTTCACATTCACTTCTTAACATACCTCTGAGCGTCCGAGGTTGTGAATGGTTTAACGTTTATATTTACAATATATGTTCAATCACAATATCAGGGACCTTATGCTATAGTGGTGGTTACCCTCCCCCCTCCTCCATCACCGGCTCTGGTTACTACCTTAGTATGTTCAATACCTGCGTGATTTTGAACATATACCTTAGTATATATTCATTTGAAATCGAGGAAATCAAAATTATGCGTGCACCTTACGAAAACTAAATTTACCTACTGAAACACCGTAGTTATTTTATGAGTTATTACCTGGGGGCCGAGCTTTGCTCAAGATGGTCAGCCTTTTGTTAATCATATTTATCGCACATATCTGAAATTGTTTCTCTATTTTCATTCTTCGATGCGCAACTTGGTCGAGGTTCTGAGACATTTGGTGAGATGCATGAGCTGGTAGGAACTGGGTTGGTTTTAGACAAAGTGGTAAAATTTTGTTTCGCGACGATCGATTGTAGCTTCTCTCTCTTGCACATTCTGTATACGTTTTCGCTTCGGAGGTCTTCCAAGTTTCATTCCTTGCAAGTTAACCTTGAAAATATTTAACAATATGTACCTAATAAACCAAACTAAATAACAATTAAACACGTTTAGTCTGAACTAACCAATACAGTTATTTTTGTTTACATGTCAAATCAAATACCGTAAGCACAATTATAACATGTATCAGCTGTTTTTGTTAACTGCAGCTACAAAAAGTTATTGTATTGTAAGGCGATAACATGGGAACTTTCAAGGGCTGTAGCACGGTAACTGGATTTTTTCCAGCCTTGTGACCAACTCCAATCGAGTTCTCGAAAACAAATACCCCATATTAAAAAAAAAAAATTAAAAATGCTCAGACGAAAATAAAAGTTTGTCCGTGCACGCACTTGTTTTAGAGTATAAAACTGATGACAATCGTACACTATATAGACATATATTTTGTTAATAGTCTGTTTACAAGTATAAATCAACCCAAATATCCCTCTTGAATGACGTCAGAATATTCACAAAGGTTTACACTAAAATGAAAGTTTATCCTTCAATGCCCATAATAGGCATCAATTATAGTTCCATCCTCAATCCATTATAGATTACAATATTTGTTCTATTTAGAGACTTCTGTTGAAATGGTAGTGTAGTTAAGGGAAATCATACTTTTCTGCCACTCAATCGAGACCTATCTTCACGTATCCGTGAGTTGTTCTATTCATAGACGGGGAAATTCACCAATGAGTTAATTTTGTACTGTTAAAGAAATCTGAGTTAGTGTAAGTGTAAAGGTGAGTTAGAAGGTGAGCATGAATGAGAGTATGGATTTTGAACGTGAGTGTCTGTGTAAGTGCAAAGGTGTGTGACTTCGTAAGTGCATTTGTTTGTAAGCGTAAATGTGTGTGTATGTGAGTATAAATGTTAATGTGAGTGTGTGAGTTTGAATGTGAGTGTAGTTTCCCGCAACGGTACCGGTGAAACGCACCGCGACCGTCTCAGAATGTCGTCTTCCATTCTAACCTCGCCGTTATTTTTATTAATTTCCTCGAAATTACAACACAGTTCTCTGTAAGTAGCCCACTACGAGACGGGTCTCTTTGTGAGTTATACTTCATTACAAGGTCTGAATTGAAAACGTGAATCCTATATACTAAATCTATTCATAATAGAGTCATAGGGGAAGCAGGTGTTGGGAAATTGAAAGAGAACTGTCAAGCTATTAATTGTATTAGATTAAAGAGATAATGTGTCAAATATTGTGTACCGTTGTCGCACAGTATTGGGTTGCCAGAACCCAGAAACGCGTTTTACCATACATTTATTCAATCCCAAACTACCTTAGGAACAAAAAATAAATTCGATTAGATCTATCCCCCAGCTGAAGACAATTTTAGGTTGGTTTGTCCAGTACTTATTACCTAAGGGAGTATGTTTTATCTATGATATTACGAATACACTATAATGTTTAACTGGGTTGATTATTAAATTTTAACATTAATTATAACAGTTACTGTTGTTACTTGTAAACTATTGCTACAAGCGATAATTAAATTGCCAAAGAATAAACGTCCGTTGACAAATTTACAAATAAGGTTATAATATATTTAGTCAACATCAACCTACCCAAGTGTTACCGCTCATGAAAAAACGGAAAACAATCTTAATGAATTTTATAATAGGATATGCAAGTTTACTTACAGTCAATCAACATAGTTATGAAAGCTAGTAACCTAAGGCCAAAAGATATCAACCAACCAAATAATATCAAACACTCAGAGAATTACGATCCTCCGGTAATCATAGAAGGTCACAATGTCTGGACGCGGAAGTAAGGTGAGGTCAAGTCTCGAACCTGTGACCCTTGGTCCTCGGTCCACTTACACTCACCACACTCACCACACACACACACACACACACACAAACCACAGACACACCACAACCACAACCTACTTCACCCGACTCAAGAGTTCCCTTCATACTTGGTGGTCATACATCTAGTGGTTAGAAATATAGAAGGTTGAACCCCACACAAGCTTGTGTATCAGGTATCTTTATACCATTTGATTAATGGTTAGAATGGTTAAATTTGCATGTTGAATCAGTAGATATACCCGTGCGATGTTTATATTGAAATCCAGTAATAGTGTATACCGGTATTATAATAGTAATATAAAGTAATATTAGTTATAATAGCAAGCCTATACATAATGTGTAGTAATAGTTCTTTATTGGAGAACATAGACAGTACAACATGAATATTGAATTTCAACTGAGCTACTTATTTATGTAAAGTAATATATTCTTGCTGATTTCAACTAGATAAGTCAGAATTGAATTGACAAACTCAAGAAGTGTAAACAAATAGAAAGAAAAGAAATGCAATTATGAAAATTGTTGTAAGTTTAATATGGTATCTTTGAAGATCGATACTACACAGACACTTTTTCCAGGCAATAGGTCAATTTAAAAAGAAATTATGACTTATAGGATTGTAATACTTAAATAACAAACGTACAGAGCAGACATTTAAACAGCTTTATTGTGAGAAAATGCAACATACTTTCTAATTTTCACCATAAAAAGTACTAAATTTTGAAGTATTTGAACACTGAACATTCAGCTAATGATATATTTCGCTCTCAGCTGCAGCAACAAGATGGTGGAATCTAGCCACCGACAATGAGCTAATGCCTATCACAGATTTCTGTCAAATACGCTAACTTTTTAAGCCAAACCAATAGAACCAACAACTGTGTATCCGTCCGCGTGTAAATGCAGGAACATGAACGCACGGTCTGTATGAATGCTCCCGTTCAAGCTCGCACAAGTTGTAAGCTATCTTTCAACATGCACTGTGTGATTTGAGCTACTTTTGCCCGGATTTGTCAATTCTAGATAGCCAATACTTGCCTACGCAGTTAGATCGACCGATTCGTGCAGGACACCGCCATAGCACGCAGGTTGCAATAGCTACTTAGAAAGTGTGTTATATAACGCTGCAATGGAGTGTACAGCGTTGAAGGCTAATGCTCCATTACCGATATGCCACAGATTGTTGAACCTCGGATTTGTCATACCCCATTTGCCCTATTT